TGGGCGGGCGGCTGTGTGGTGCTTAGTTGCCAGCCGGGTTAAACCACAACAGTGTGCCATGTACAAAATCATATCACCATGAATATAGATCTGACAGTCTTTCACACCAAGAGAAAAGAGTGAACCTAGTCCCTGTGCGAATTACTGCAGCCTACGTACCACAGCCATATATGCCACCTGACTTACAAGAAAAGAAGAATTGGAAATATCATGGCAGCGAGACTTGCTGCAGAGGGCTTTGCAAAGGGCAGATTTGAAGTTGAGTATAAACGTGCTTGACATTTACACTCACATATAGAAAAATATCATGTCAAATGTTGTAACTTTCTAGGAGTCCCTGTGATGAAGCAACACTCCGCTATACTGTATACTAAAAAAGTAAACATCCAAAATATGGCATGTTCTCCAAAAATTCAGTCTCATTACTAGAAATGAAGGATTGCCAGTAAGGGAAAAAATCTGCAAAGAGAAGGCTTTATCTGAAGGTCTCTGAAGCAGCTACTAACGGAACATGTAGGTTTGAAAGCCAAAACACAAACCTGTATCTCATAGGGCACATAATACTTACACACTCCTTCATGTGAGTCCTTTCCAAAGCATCCCAGATTTGTTCCTCACTGTACTGATTGAAAGGATCCAAGTTTGATCTGGAGGGAGAAGCAGAAAACAAAACCAGAACTTTTATTCAGCAATGAATGGCAAAACAACAGTGTGCTAACTCAATGATTCCCATTTAGCCTTCCACTGACAGAATTTCCTTGCCAAGGAAGTCTGATGCTCCCAGCACGTTAGGGTTAGAGTAGCCAAAGAACAAAAGAGTAGAGATGGAAGACAAAGATACAAAAACTTAAAGCAAATCTAAATGGAAAGCAAGACTTTCATAGAGGATGATCACATCCATTCTGCACTGGACCAGCTGAAATCATTTAGCTGTGCTTTTTCTGTTTCAAAAACAGAGAACAGAAGCTAGGATGCCTGAGAACTAACATCTCACCAGGCACCTATTTGAGTTCAACTAAAGGTGGTAGGTAGCCCTCTTTTGGTCTCACTAACCTCACAGTGCCACTGAATAGCACAGGTTCCTGAGGAATTATTGAGAGTTTGCTGCGAAGATCTGCTAAACCAATGTCATTTATCTTCAGGCCATCAATTTTAATGCAGCCTCCAGACAGTTCAACCAGACGGAAGAGTGCCATTCCAAGGGAAGACTTCCCTAAAAATGAGGCAGGAAAAACACTACTAGTGTTTCTACAGTCATAGCAACTTTGAGACGAGAAAGCATTTTAAAAGCTGTCTATATGTAAGAAAAGTGCTTTAAAATACCATAAGGTCCTGGCAAACAATACTGGTAAATGCTGGGGCTCAGCATTTAAACTTCTAAAGAATTGTAGGGCCAGCTCCTATTCTCTTCCCACAGAAGCCACCCCTGCTACCAAAACCTTGCCATGCAAACCAAACACAGCAATATTAATTGCTTATTTAGAAACTCAAATTTTGGAGCCGGTTTAAGTTATCTCACAATGAGGATTTTGATTCTTCACATTACAGACTGCTGAGATAGCTTAGAGCCAAACCTGGCTGGAGCATTAGTACAGAAAACTTTCAAGACAGTCAAATAAGCTGCAGTGAGCATATTGTAGGTAGTGTTCTGTGCTGATAAGTGGCTTGGGGTGTTAAACATTATGAGCACACTGGCTCAGGCATAGTAGGATATCCCTCTACTTTAAATGAAAACTTATTTTCATTATTGTTTACAGGCATCCTACTCGTGTATGGACATGAACAGAATCCACCATTGGCAGATTGCTGGAACACTGCTGTGCAGTTAACAACTTATGCAAACACAGAGAAGACAGAGGAGAACCAATATGACTGCCTGTCCTGGTTTCGGCTGGGATAGAGTTAATTTTCTTCATAGTAGCTAGCATAGTGCTGTGTTTTGGATTTAGTACTAGAAGAATGTTGATAACACCCTGATGTTTTTAGTTGTTGCCAAGTAGTGCTCAGACTACTCAAGGACTTTTGGAGCTTCTCCTGCTCGCCCAGGTGCATAACAAGCTGGGAGGGAGCACAGCTAGGACAGCTAAACCCAAACTGACCAAAGAGCTATTCCATACCGTATAACGTCATGCTCAGGGTGGGGGAGTTAGTCGGTTGCAGGGAGAGTGATCGCGGCTTGGGACAGGCTGGGCATCAGTCAGCGGGTGGTGAGCAGTTGCGCTGTACATCATTCATTTTGTATATTCTGTATATTCTCCTACCATTTTCATTATTACTATTATTATTATTTTCTCTTATTAAACTGTCTCTATCTCAGCCCACGGCTCTAACTTTTTTTTTCTTCCCAGTTCTCTCCCCTATCCCACTGAGGGAGGGTGGAGTGAGCGAGTGGCTGTGTGGGGCTTAATTGCCAGCTGGGTTAAACCCCGACACTGCCCCACTCTATTCCATTCCCATTCTGTAAAAGTAATGATTTAACTCTGCTTAATGTTTCCTTACCTGAACCTGTCCTTCCCACAATGCCAATCTTCTCCTTCGGTTTGATAGTAAAGGACACTTTTTTAAGCACTAGAGGGAGGTTCTCCCGGTACCGCATCTCTGCATTTTCAAAAACAACTTCACCTTCCTGTGGCCAGTCCAGAGGAGGGGTTTTATTCTTAATTCGAGCAGGAGCTTCCAGGGAAAGTGTCTTTAAAACAAAACCAGAAGTTCAGTTTCCAGAAAACAAAATACCAGGAAGGAAAATTATCAGTTGCAGCTTTCAACAGTTCTTCCCTGCAGACTCAGCCCGCATCAGTTTATAGCAGCTTTATGATGAGCTGTGTGGCTGGATGCGGGCCCAGTGGTTCAGAAGTTTGCTGTGTTACATTGACCACACTGCTATTCCCATCCTGTTGCCTCAGTAATTATACTGGTCCTTCTATACAACAATGTTTTTCAGCAGTGGAATTAAAAATATATTTTAGGCCTATTATTTATGAGCACAATCCTATTGAGTTTTGTAGCACTCCAAAGATTGGATGAAAAATCTGCTGTATTTCTACATCTCATTTGCTATGCCATGCCAAGGTCACCTCTTGATTCTGACAGAGAAGAGAACGTTCACATGACACATTGCACAAATCCTACCCTTCTCTTCCTCATTTTCCCCTGTTCTGTTAAATCACTGAGTCAGTTGGGCCCCTTCCAGGTTGCTCACTTTTGCTATTTTACTCTGCCCCTTAATAGGTCCCTCATTAAGCAGTTCACAGATTAAAGAGAAAAGCAAACCAAACATGTGCCTTTATAGCATGTCTAGAACGAAGCCAAGGTCACTTTCCTGTATTTGGCAAAAGTAGCCTCAGAGAATGGCAGAAATCCTGTCATGGGATTCATCTCATGTAACTTTAAACACATACAGGCTCCGTCAACTCCTTTATAGTCACTACAAAGAAGCTAGCATTTTTGGAGTGCAATTTTTCTCATTCTAATATAAACACTTATAATGGGTAATAAATTGCCCTCTGGAGATAGCCATTTCCTACACTGGTGTAGAAAGATCCCACAGGGATTATGCCAATTGTGGACATCTGCAACATCTAGTTACAGGCAGATTAATTGTACCCCAAGGGTTTGAGAAAAACAGCAGTCTTCTACAATAGTACTCCAGTTCTTTGAGCATGGTGCTCTTAAGAGCAACCTCAGGGCCCACGAGGAAAGAAGCCAAGCCTGGGACTTAATAAAACACAGAATCTGTATGGTGTTCCACTGCTCACCCACCCATTCACTTTAGACTCAACCTACTTCTACAGTTTCATAACAAAATCGCTGTCTAGAGATCCAAATAAGAAAATCATGAAAAGCATTGCTTAACAGTGATAGAAGATGAAAGACAGTAACTAAAAAAAAAAACCCACAAAACCAAAAAAACCCCAGCCTACAGCTATAGGCTTTGCCACTGAAGACCTGACAGTGATAAACCCATCTCAGTCCAGCGAGAGATACCCAGCAGTATTTGGCACACAGTTCTCAGCTTGTGTGGTCACCAAGTCTTCCATACACAGAAATTTTCTACTTAGATGCCACAAGAGGAATGGGGGAGTAGACAGGGGTTTTTTCTCTTCAGTATTAAATCCACAGGCTAAAAAAAATTCTACAAATATCAATTACTACGTAGCCCAGATTTACCAAATAGACATCTCCCTCTGAAGTTCAGAGGGAATGTGTATTACGTATTAAGTAAAAAAGCCTTTCACCTCAAAAAAAAAGAGACCCAGTAGAACACTTTCTCCTGGCTACACTTTCCCCATTCAACCTACACACAGTTCTGCATACACAAGTGTTATGAAGAAAGGGTTACAGATAACCATAGCAGCTTGCTAAGCATTTAGCCTGGCACATTTCTCATGTTTGCAACGAGAGCAATTCCTTGACTTTTTAAGCATAAGATAGCTGTGGAAAAAGAAGTAGACTTATTATATGTATTGAATTTCCAGTTACCCCTTTCACACTTTTCTCTTTACTGAGAATGTCAGCAAACTTTCAATATTCTTAGGTAACTTCAGTGATACCAGGCAAGCAATGCCTGTAAGCTTAATTACCTACCAGCTCTTGTGCCATTCATCCTGCCATTATATACATGCTTCATAAACCAAATTCACTCTGCAGTATTATGGTACATGCATTAATGTGTTTACAAGATCAGAAACATACATTCTATACTAAGGCAGACTATAGCTGACTTTTCCTCTTATGCCAGTAACAGAACAAGCAACAAGAAATTTTACAACAGGTAGTTGAATGTATTGTTGTCCTACCTTGATATAGTGATCAATCCTCTCCACTGAGGTGAAGCGAGCTTCTGTCTCTGAAGCAAGTCTGACTGTAAACTGGAATAAGCCTGTTAACTGAAGTGATAGGAGAAAAAAAAGACAAATTTAGAGAGCTGTGATTTATTACTGAATTAAGAGATGAACCTAATGGACAGTGTGCCCAGTAGGACCAGGGAAGTGATTGTGCCCTTGCACTGGGCACTGGTAAGGCCACACCTCAAATCCTGTATTCAGTTTTGGGCCCCTCACTATACAAAAGACATTGAAGTGCTGGAGTGTGTCCAAAGGAGAGCAACAAAGCTGATTAAGGGTCTGGAGCACAAGTCTTATGAAGAATGGCTGAGGGAACTGGGGTTGTTTAGCCTGGAGAAGAGGAAGCTGAGGGGAGACCTTATCGCTCTCTACAACTGCCTGACAGGAGGTTGTAGCAAGGTGTGGGTTGGTCTCTTATCCCATGTTACAAGTGATAGGACAAGAAGAAATGGCCTCAAGTTGCGCCAGGGGAGGTTTAGATCACATATTAGGAAAAATTTCTTCACCGAAAGGGTTGTCAAGCACTGGAACAGGCTGGTCAGTGAGTCACCATCCCTGGAGGTATTTAAAAGATGTGTAGGCATGCTGCTTAGGGACATGATTTAGTGGTGGAATGGCAGTGTTAGGTTAACGGTTGGACTCAATCTTAGAGGTCTTTTCCAACCTAAATGATTTTATGATTCTTGATACAAGTACTCTTGGCATTTGCCACCATATAGCTAAGGTGGCCAAGGCAAATTAATTTTAGTTAATAGTTAATTTTAAAATAACCATAATTTATTAATCACTTGGAAAGCCAACAGTTTAGAAAGGTTTCCCACAAGCAACAGCTTTAAATATTAGCCAAGTTTTGTAAGTTCACCTTACTACCACCAGGAGGCAGAAAAGGACAAACAACAGCTCTCATAGCAAGTATTCTGAGCCCTGAAGTCTGTCTAAGCCACACAGCTGCAACACTGGATGCTGTTCGCTGTGTGGGCAATACATTAAGACATCAGTTCAGCAGACATCTGATGTATCATGAGTCCAATTTCTGGAAATATCCAAGAAAATTGCAATATGCAGCATATGAAGAGCCTCAAACGGTTTCTACTTCATAATTTAAAAAGAGGCAGCTCCCCATAACAATAGCCTTAAGCACCTGGCTCCTCATAATTTGTGATTTGGCTGCTAGCAAAAGGTCCTAACTCTGAATTGCTTTCCTCTCTGTTACCAAAAGGGGTAACAGTATCTTTTTCCATTCTAGTGCATTAAGGAAAGTTTTCAATGGTGTGTTACTTTTACTTACTATATTAAATGAGAAATTAAATATTACAGTATGCAAACATACTCACCTGCACAGCATATGAGATAGCCAGCCCAGCATAGGCAGGAGGAATCTGGCCATGCATTAAGACAATCATAAGGCCAGTGGTTGTGATAAGAGCAATGCTGATAATGTCCAGCCGTACAGCTAGCCAGCGCATTGCACAGCTGAACAAGTAAAATGGTGCTTGATTGTCATCTAGGAGCTCCTGATACCTGAAACAAATACAGGAAAGGTTAGTAGGCCTCCACAATCCTGATGTTCTACAAATAGCAGAGCTACTTAAACTCCTGTTCCAGTATCAGAATTCAGGGTGAAAAGACTAGTATGTCAATGACAGTCTCAAACTAGGCCATGAAAGCAGGGTTTACAAACTTCCCTGAATAATGTTAGATACCTACTTAGCTCAAACTCTTGGAAGTCAAATTACCAAGTTTCTGCGTACAACAATGAATTATACTGGGAGCAAATCAAAATTCAGGGCCATTACACACCCTTTCACCACAACTTCACCTATGCAAGACCTCCCAGAGGATGTGCCATAGCTGCAAATTACTCCATGGGTAACAGCAGCAGTGCTTCAGAATATGGACAAAATACATGCTGTTTGTTACAGAAGTGTAATAAGGTTACACTAAGTATTGATGGGACTGGTGATGCTAATTAAAACACATCAATAACCATTTACTTTACAGTCCTGACACTGTGGTGCTGAGAAAGTGTATTTCAGGGGAGACACTTGAGAGATTCACAAAGCCAGTAACTGAATTTTCTAATGGTGCAATTCAGTTTTACACCCATCACTCTTGCACAGTGTGTGCAGTGCCTTAGTGCTCTAGCACCAGCGATGCTAAGGGACTGCTATTTGCATCTCTGCAACCTTCATCTAAGCTGGTATAGCAGTGTCCTTCCAGAGCTTCTGTTGCCATTTTCCCTGTGCTCCCATGCTGTTGGTCTTGTGACCTTGCACCTGCAAAACCCTGATATTGTTATGGCAGTTTCTCATGGGAAGCAACTAACACTCACGTGAGACACGTTTCACTTTCCCTCACTAACATTTGTTTTTGCAGATTTTAGTACTAGAGGAAACCAAGCACAGTGCATAACAAGGTGGCTAACAATCACTTAAATACTTGATAAATGCTATCCAATTATACATGTGCACAGAGACTAACAGCTCATCAATATGCACACTGAGGTTTTGTTAGCGTGCTCTAACCAATACTAACACCACCACAAGGAGAAACAACCAAAATAAAGTATGAGCAGGACCTGATGAAATGTATTTACTACTAGGGAAAAAGCATGGCCAAAACATTGCCCTCACCATTATCATTGCCACATGCTGCACTGCAGAGAACCCCAAGGCAGGCATTCACCTGGGACACCATCACTGTTGTTCACCATTGGCTACTGAGGAGTTTTCCCTTTCCCTTCTTCTTGTTCTCCCTTATTTTTTCCCCCAAAAAGTAACTTCCACTCTTAGAGCCAATGTATGCCATCAGCTATAGACCCCGTTAATAAATCTTTCTGAATGTAAACATGCTGCACCCTGCTTTGTGCTTCACCACTTTCAGATGAATATCTAGACTGACCTGTGCAGAAATTCCTGTCCTTTGTGGTAGGCGTGGATTGTGGAGAGACCCTGTATGCTAGATGTAATATGAGACAGGAATGGAGACTGTGTGATGTTGTCCAGGCGCTTGAGCTCTCGAATAAATACTCTGGAAGGAAATAAGCACTTTTAAGTGACGTGTACAACGACCATATGCCAGCCACCACATTGATGTATATATACTTGAAGAACCTTACGTCCTTAATAGGTCAAAGAATCCCTACTTTTAGTCAAAGCAGCTGATGCACTTACCTAGACACAACATGCAGAACTGTGAAGAGGACAATGAGGGGCCCCACTGCCACCAGGAACCAGGGGAAAACCCCAGAAATCACCCCCACACAGAAGAACACAAGGATGACATTCTGGATAAACATTTCTGCTTGAAACGGCAAACGAACATCAACTGGAAAAGACGGAGGGAAAAAGAGGAAGATCTTGAAAACAGAAAGCTAAAACCACCTTTATAAAGCAATTCAGTCCAGCTGTACATCATCACAGACAAGGACAGTGATTTCTCATGGCTTATTCAAATTAAAAATGTACATTTTCATTAGGGGTGCTTTTATCTTCTGAGATACCAGTAGTCTTTCCAATTATTCCCATTTGCAGAAATAGCACTGATGCAACTCTGACCCAATTACCACCTTTGCTGCACATTAGCTTCACCCTGATACTCTAGGTTCTCCCTGCATTAACTGCTAAGAGTCCATCTGCAGTCTGTAGGCACAAAAGCAGCTGTACATTTTCTTCATTGTAAGTCATGGACAGACTTGAGATACCAGCTGCCTTCTAGAACCATAACCCAGGTACATCCCAATTCCTGCTTTGCCTATTACAAGTACACACATGGCAATGGATATAGGGTATGATCACCCCAACAGCAACAGACTGGAGAGTATTAAGGAGTTAACTGGGAGATCTGAGTGTGGGATCTACAACACACAGAGTGAGAGATACCTTCATCCATGTCTTTGGAAAACCTGTTGAGAATTCGCCCGGTGGGTGTAGTGTCAAAGAACTTCCAAAAAGAAGAGCTCATCATGGAGCCTTGAGGATGCTCTGAGAGTTCCCTGATAATGCAACAAACATTGCAGCATTATGAAAGGATGTTTGCCTTCCTGTCACTGCTCCTCCCCTGGGCACCAAAACATTCTGCTCATTTTCTCTCTCCAACCATAAGTGGTTTTTTTCTTGCATTCTATGCTTCCAACCAGTGGAAGGAAGGTATTAATTCAGGAAGAAGTTTAACAGAAAAGTATGGTGCAGCCCCAAGAGATGACTTATGGAAACTTCCTATGGTTCAAAAGTTTCTCTTGGGAGGGGACCAAAAGAACCCCAGTGACAGCAATATGCAGAGTACGAGGCAGGGGATAAGAAAAGCAACAGCACTGGCACATACCTTTACAAAGACAACACCACGAACAGCTTTCAGGATCAACATAACCACCATAGACAGTGCATAGATGCCAGCATAGTAATGCATGTGAGGGTTATCTTTCATACTGTTGCTTATGACAGTATCATTTCCCAAAGTCACAGTGGTGTTCTGCAGAAAATTCAAGGTTTCAGTGAATAGTTAAGACAAGGATTAAGCATGTACACATTACACATGGTAGAATTTAACTGTCCTCTGTCCCCTCCCACCATATTTGGTATTTCTTGTTTAGTAGTACTTCATTAATCTTTGAATACTTCAGAAAGTTTTCCCTAGCAGAGATACTAGATGTGCAGATTTGTAGCCCTTGGCCTTTTTCCTACAATACTTTGAAAATACTATCAACAATACCTACTTTATTTGATTCCTAATCTCTCATTTCACGCTTATGATTTCTTGTGTTCTTCTGAACATAACCAGATACTTGCATACCACCACTCTTATTACAGAGCAATATTCTTCTTAGATAGGTTGTACATTCTCTTCTTAGCAATCATGGTTGTTATTTTCTGCTAGTATGCAGTAAATTCTTTACTGTCACACTATTGTACGTTCTCATTCTCTCTCTTTTTTTTAATCTTTAAGTATATTTAAGGACCTCATTGCTTATTTTAATATTGTCGGCCATCTGCACTTCATTGTTTCCTCTCTAAGGTTAGTAGTTTGCTCCCCTGACCCCCCCCCCAAAAAAATCTTGCAGTTATATTTGAATATCTAAATGCAACAAGACTTGCAATCAAAGCCCCTAGAGTAGGAAAGTCCCAAGCCATCCCAGGTTATCACAGTCTTCAAAGCAACTCCCAAAAGTCATTTGACTTAAAGCCATATACTTTAACAAGATTATCCTGTTAGATGTAAGGTCACATTCAAACAAAAAACAACACTAAAATTAGTAATTCCTCATGCAGCTTGTTGGCCCCTTTCACATTTTCACTTCCTTTTCTCAGACTAACCAAGACAAGGAACAAGAGGGCAGTATAAAACCACATGAGCTATTATATCTATCTTATTAGTGGAGCTCTCATTCTTGGGGATGAACTCTCTAGCGAGATCACCTCCCAGAGAGCCTTACAACTTGCTTAAATTAGGAAGCACCATTTGGTCTCATAGGACTGCTTGGGATTAGTCTAGCAAAGCAATCTCCCTCCCTGTTAGATACAAGAGAGCAGAAAAGCTATTTATCTTACTCCACTGCCTTGCTTGATCCAGAAGCTCAGCCACCAGTTGCTAAAAGCTGTACTGCCCACATTCAGCACAAACAGTGCCATGATGACAAGGAATGCAAAGGGGCCTCCAGCTGCCTGAATGTAGATACCGTAAACAGACCAGGGGACAGAGCCCTTGCCTTTCTCTTCCAACTGGACCAACTGGCCTGTGAAACAAAAGAGGAGGAGGGAGTGAGAAAAAGAAAGCTGTTCCATGAAACTTCTGCAAGTTTGTGAATATACACAAAATACAGAGTTCTTTCAGAAACAGACATTGTTTAATACATAGAACTCAATGGTTCAAACGGTTTTTCAAAAAGTCACATTTCCTCTGCAGAATCACATCATGGTACATTTGAAAAAGCATAATCAGCACAGACTTAAGTACTAGGCTGGTATCAGCCTCATGATTGCTTTTTAAACCCTGCTGAAGTCCAAGTTAACATTAAACAGAGAGAACAACAAAACAGGGGTCAGATATTCCAATTCTTCATACATAAATGTTCCTGCCTAGAACTCTGCGAGTACCAAGCTATACACATTGCCCTCTTAGGATAGGAGAGAGAGGTGATATGGGAGACAGGGTACTCCTTTGTGCCATTGGCATCTGATCAGTGGCAGCCTGACTGAACTTAAAACCATGGTGCAGGCATCCATATTTAATGAATTAATTAATGTTCTTTGCCCACTGCCTGCGTCCTTTCAACCACGCTGAGTGACCAGGATTTGAGACAGCTTTCAAAACCTGAGAGGTACATTCATAATACACTTGGAAAGCAAATATTTTGAGCTTATTGGTGTGTAAAATAATTACAGCCAGAAATCTGATTACATAGTTACCCTCTTCCTTCTTTACAACTTTCTCCTTCTTCACAGACCCTGTTTTGGTACTTTTATCCTGGGGTCTTTTCAGTGAACTGTTTGTGTTCTTCTTTATATTAATCTGCAGGAAAACAATGACACTAAACATACCAGAGTAATTTGCTTTGACATTTTCATATCTGAACCCAAACTTTTTGTAAGCTGCCTCCTAAGGACAAAGGCTTTCAATAGTTTAGCATTCATATCAAGGAGGATATTCACTTTGCTGTTATTATGGATGACTGACAACTCTGGTGGATTAAGTTCTCCTCCTAAATGAATCAGTGACACTATGTGTGTACATGATAGAGGAATGACACCCCTACTACTGAGAGATACAATCCCCCTGTGCCTTCTAAAAATAACTCACAATTTTATTAAGAGGCTTTTTTTCCCCAAACACCCTAGTGCTTCACTCAGGAAAGCTCTCATGGACATCTTTCAAGGACAAAGTCCAGTTAACTTGGTCTTCCAAGTATCAACTATCCAAACACTAAACTGCACACACAATTACTGTTCTAAACCCAGCCATCTTCCCACAAATGGAAGTTACTACCTGTTTAGAGACAGCCTGCATTAACTGAAACTCCCTACACAGCATCTTCAGGGTCCTCTTCCCACACTTTACATGAGAAGAGACATCTCACATGTCAAACCACAGAGAATCTAACTTTACCATCCATTTCTTCTTATCCCATTGGGAATGCATATTAATGCTCCTTCCATGAGCTAGTGTTTACAGAAAGACAGTGAAGGTCAGCCAACCATGCAGACTGGAGAACCTCATGCAACTGTCATTACATTAAAATGGCAGAACTGTAATCTTCATGCCTCAGAAAGAATATGCAGAGTAACACATTATATTTTTTTGCTTCTTTCACTAACAACTCCCAGGAGAAAATTTCACTGAACACCTATCTGTGTATTTATCACAATGCTACCTTTTCAAAGACTTTTTTTTTTTAATGTCTGCAACTTGTGAATAAGGAGCCTCTTGTCTCTTAAAAAATAAACTGTTGATGTGCTTTTTAATTTCTTCTTACTAAGAGAAAACACACACAACACTTAGAGAAGTAAATCGTCATCAAATAAAAAGCAGCGAAGTTGCTTACTGCAAAGAATAACTTCAGGAAACAAACAGGAGAAAGGTGGGGAAAATTAAATTGCTGAATATTTAAATGCATGTCCTACTGAATGGTTCTTGTTATTTTCTAGGTTTACATTTTTTCCTCCAGCTAAAATACTAGAGCACAAATCCAAGTTTTCATTTACAGCCATTGTTTCATAACAGAAGCAGTGTCAAGCAACATTATTTTTTTCAAAACCCCCCAAAACAAAGCATTTTCAGTTACATTTCAAAAAAGCTGTCACATCTAACTTTTGTCAAGCTGTGTCACTTTTCCTGTGCCTCAGTCACACCCTATGTGAAAAAGAAGTAACAAACTAATAAGAATTTTTTTCAGACAAAGGTTGGCATTAGAGGTAAACAAAGAAGTGAGGTGTACAATAAGAGACAACAAGCTTCCTGCTCTGAGCATCACCAGAGGATACAATATATTACTTTCATGTTCAACTCATGAGCTCATTGGCAGAGTCCTCTCTACTATGCATTCCCTAAATACAAACCATGACTGCAAAGATGAAGTGCTAATGAAGCACAGATTATTCTACAGGCACAGATTATTCTACAGGAAATCTATTGATCAGATCAACACATGAACATGTGAAGCCATTTTCCAGTCTTCCAACTGTCATTTGGTTCATCTCATCAGAAAAGTCATCATTCAGAGCACTTTAAAATAAACAAATATTCCCTAAATACAAACCGGGACTGCAAAGATGAAGTGCTAATGAAGCACAGATTATTCTACAGGCACAGATTATTCTACAGGAAATCTATTGATCAGATCAACACATGAACATGTGAAGCCATTTTCCAGTCTTCCAACTGTCATTTGGTTCATCTCATCAGAAAAGTCATCATTCAGAGCACTTTAAAATAAACAAACAAGTACCTCAATATGTGGTGTTTCTCCCAGCTGTAGGTTATTAAAAATAGTTGCATAGTCCCCATTTAAATTCATCAGTTCCTCATGACTTCCTCGCTCAGTAATGCAGCCTTCTTTCATGAAGATCACTTCATCACAGTCAACAAGATACTGGAGAAAATGGCAGTAAGAACAAGTCTTATCATTATGTCCAATAATCACACAATCCTTTTCGGTAATTTATAGACATTTGCACGCAACTGCAACTGTTTCTCTGGTAAATTTTCTTTAGACATGTGTTACCAGTCCAGATCAGACACCATGCAGTACTGGTATAAAATAAAGAATTAGATTGTCCTTGATGCGTGTTTGCAAACCTAGTTTGTAAAGGTAAGCCATGCATCCTATAGACGAGCAGGGTTGTGCTGCAACACGTCAGCACATAGAAATTTCCAGTATGAAGGCAACTTGGACTTTTCAAGAAAGTCAAGGAAAGAACGAGAGTTGTAGTACCTGAAGCTGATGAGTGATGAAAAGGACAGTCTTTGACTTCAGGTGCTTCCTTATTGCACTGTTAAAAATGTGATTTCCAACATGAGCATCTAAGGCACTAAGGGGATCATCGAGGATGTAAATGCTCCTGTCACTGTACAGGGCTCGAGCCAGACTGATTCTCTGACGCTGTCCTCCACTCAGATTAGCCCCTCGTTCACCAATCTGTACAGACACACAGCTGTTATTTTATTTCTAAGGCACCATGCAACACAGATATTCAGAGCTCAAGAGGTCACCAGAATGAAGCAGACCATAATATTTTTATTTATATATATACACACACACACACCATATTATATATCATTTTAATATATATATTCTAGTTTTAGTTTAGTTTGTCCACTTCTTTGTGAAATGTGCTATACATTCAAACTCAAAGTTAATATGCTTGAAGCGTGGCAGTACTTTTTTGCTTATTTTCCTTTTTTTGTATTAACATAGCCATGCTTTTTCCTTAGCTATTTTAAATCAAGTTCAAATAGGTCCCATTAAGGGAGCTAAATTTACAACACAATAAAAAAATCCCAAATTGTCAACATCTGAGTCAAAAACATGGCACAACTCTCTGTGGCCCAGGGCCTGCATTGATAAGCTCAGCTCAAGAAGGTGAATTCAACAGCTTTGCTTATATGCATACCAGACCGATGTTCCCCTCACTCCAATCTAGTCTACCAAACCAAAACTCTACTTTTCTCCATCTACTAATTAGTTTACTGTAAGCAAAATTTATACCTCTGTCAGGTCCCCATTTGGAAGGATGGCTAGGTCAGGCCTTAGACAGCAACCATTCAACACCGTATTGTATCTAAAGAACAATTAGATACTTAGTAAGAGCACTCTTTGTTTTTCCCCCTCAAGTATCTAGCTAGTACAGCATTATCTCACTTTCTACACTAATAGCAGATATTCCAGCAGCCTAAAACAGATGATCTGCCTTGGATTCCCAGAAGGAAACTGAGGATAATAATTAATCACCTACTTCTGAAGTACAGTGAAGGTAAGGAGGCAATTTCTTTCCAGGGACAGCTAGCACAGGCCTCAGGGAAGGCCCCCACTGGGGGAGGGCCATGGAAGGTGCCAGTATATCACAAACAGCAGTTGCTGTGTTTAAAGAGGGCAAGGCCAGGACAGCAAGAGCAAATGCCACTTCAGTGCTGCTCCACAGCAGCTGCTAAAAACAGAGATCAGACAGTACTCCAGCATGAGGTATAGCCCTCACTGCAAATGAGCAGTGACAGACGCACTGGCAGCCATCAACCAGTGACCACGTGCAAGAGATGCAGGCTCTTAAATGAGACTTAAAGGAGTCTTAAAGACAGACTCTAAAAGGAGTCTTTAGCTGCAGTGTACTCTGCATTAAATTTTCCCACACTTGGGCCAAGAATTATTCAGCCTTCATGAAAATCAGCAAACAGTTCTGACAAACCTTTCTTCGTCGTATTCCTTGCCAAAAAGAATGTTGTCCCGAAGCGTAGCATTGAGAATCCAGGCCTGCTGGGCCACATATGCAAATGTTCCACTTACTGCAATGCTACCCTCCAACAGGGTCATCTGAAATTAAAGATAAACTGCGAAATTATGCTATTCCATATTTAGAATAGACTTTCTTCTACAGAGCGCAAATAAGTGAAATAGGAGATAGGAAAGAGAAGAGCAGAAGTAGTCAAAACAGAATTCTCACCTGTCCTAAAATTGCTGAGATAAGTGAAGTTTTTCCACTCCCCACACTGCCACAAATTCCAACAAGTTTTCCCTAGACAGGAAAAAAAAAATATATGGCATTCATTTCTTACATTCTCCATCCCTTTCAGGGTTTGGACTGCCTTTAGTACCTCTGAGGGAACAGTTGGACATTAATGACAGCTGAAAAGGGAAATAACAGACAAAAAAGCAAGACAGACAGTATTTTAACTCTCAAATAATAAAGAGTGAATACTATCCCATAGTGGACTAATACTGAATCAACTCTACAGGTAAAAATGAATGTATTTTAAGATCAGCTTCCCTTTGACTGGGCCTGATACAGGCACAGAGAATGCTGTACTCAGCCAAAAGCACCAAGGTCTGCCTGAACAGAATGCACCAAGATGCTTTTGAGAGTGGTAAGGAAAAAGATAAAGAGGGAAAGACTGAAAGAAAAGCAGAATTCAGGATATATGGGTCCAGTAAAACTCCTTGCCTATGAGATGCAGTTTTCTAACGAACAGGTACCAAGAAAAGGCTAGCTAGAATCCAGTCACTTCAAAGAATTGCTCTGCAATAAAATGGGCTGGTTGATACCCACCACATTAAACACTGAATTAATCAAAATTACTTTTGTTCCTTTTGTAAAAAAAGGTAAAGCAGACAGAAAGGGTATAGAGCCACTTGTGGAACACATTGCTGGCCTCCCCTCATTTACAAACTCATAGAAAATTAGCCTTTACATTTTCAAGTAACTGTGTACTCCTTTTTTCAATACTATTTTTTAAACTATATGCATCCTTCTCAAAAGTTTAATATACGGGGGTTTATATTTTAAAATAGTTTAAAGCTTTCCCTCTGTTCATATGACTACAGGAGACAATTTAATCATAAATATATTGATAAAAGCATGGATCCCATTAGTACAACATCCAACTGCTGGACTGCAAAACTTCTGTATTTGTAGAAGATGTCATGTATTAAGTTCAATGCTTTTTCTTTGACATTTTACATGCTTTTACTATCTTGGAATGAGGACTCCAACTACTTCCAAATTCTTGAAAATCTTTGTGTCCTTCTACTGTACAAAAATTCTCAAGGAAGAAAAGCACATTCTTCAAAGAAAAGCACCATTACGCTCCATTAGAACACCTAATCACCTAAAACGTTCACCCAGAATATAGCTGAAACCCTGCAAAATTGTCAAATGGCTGCAGGAATACACTATCCACCAATACCCCACTGAGATCCCTGTTGCCTTGCTGATTCTTTAAGCTCGATGGCTCATATACTGTACTGAGAGCTATAAGCAGCAAAACCACCGGTTAGATGTGAAACCTATACAACCTGCAGTTGTTTCATAGGCTGTTTGCAAAGATCTAGACTGCTAAAATGGCACAGCTGTTTACATCAAGATCAGACACTGCATCCTGGATACTGCAGTTGCCATGGATATTACAGGAGAGCACAAAAGCAGTATGCTCCATTTCATGCAGAAACACACAGCAGTCTATTCCAAGGGACAGCTAAAAACGAGGTCAGATTTCCTCCTTTCTTCTCTTACCTTTTCTATCTCCAAGTCAATGTTGTAGAGAGTCCTCTGAAGCCGAAGGTTAACCAGGTGGATGATTTTGTTCTCCTCTTCGGGGCTAGGATGGTCATCATTGTCCACTAGAAGATGGCCCTTCTGCTCTGCCAGCACAGCTTGCTGTCCCTCATTCTGCAGCTTCATTTTCTCTTTCTTGCCCTTGGTGACTTTCTTGTCTTTTTTCACTTTGGGGGTCAACTTTGGTGAGCTCTGGACGCTGGCGTGGGAGAAGTCCCAAGCCAAGGTAGCATTTTTCACCTCTATCGCGGTGTGAGGATTGGCTGGTTTTTTCTTTATCATATGAACCTCTTCCATTAGAAATAAACTCTGATAGGAGTTGTGAGAGAGGTGTAAAGATGAGACACCTGATCAAGACTGGGAGACAAGCCTATGGCACACTCACGCAGCAAAACACATCAGGCTATATAGTAGGAGGAAGCTGAAGAGCAAAAGGTAGCTCATTAGTGTAAACTAACTCCAGACTTTTACAGAACTGCAATACTCTGGGTGCGATATGTGAGGGGCTTATTCTTTTAACAATGTTTGCAACTGCAGCTCTGTAATTTCCAGATTAAAACCACATGAGTAGAATGCATGGGTTGGAGAGGAGAGGTCACTTTGAGGAAGAAGTGACTGACTTGTCCTGCACACCAACTCATTATGGAAGGAGATGGAATGACTTTTAACTTCAGCCTTTACCCTTCAACTTTTCTGCTGGGAAAAAGTCATCTCACAAATTTAGCTGACCTGTCTTGGGCTGCTTGACAGTAAGAAGCCATCAAGTCTATTGTACCATGTTTTCCACCACATCCATCAGTATTTAGAAACAACACAGATTAGGAAGAGATTTTTCACACAGTTTAATTACGAGACAAAATGTTTTCCATTTACATAATTTATGTTTTGAACTAAGAAGCCTTTCGTGATTAAAGACTTCTCAATTCTCAGCCTTATTTACTCTTGCAATTGCTATGCCCGAATCATACATTCATAATAAAGCTCATACTCATTTACAGAGCCAAAAAGTCAGTTACATTTTTACTGTGATGTTAGAGTATCCCCACCTTGTGTTACACTCCCTACAAAGATTATACTGTTTACAGTCAAACTGGGAGATATTACAATTTCCCCTCTCCTCTTCGCCCCCAAAACTCTCTTCAGTGCATTTGGATTTAAGAAAGTTTGATTTAGGGTGACTCAGAAGATGAAACAAAAATGCTCAAAAGCAACATGATCTCAAAACCATTCTGCAGATCCCATTCTCATACCCAGATTTGTTTCATGAATGCGTGACACAGAATCCATCTATCTGTCAATGTTTATGGAATCCTATTTGGAAATTTCTGTGACATGCAATGCACTGTTGTCTTCAAGAGAGAAGACAAAATAAAGGCCTGTCCTCTGAGTCCATACTGAAGTATACACAGTGTATTCACTTCACAGGGGCTGAAGAATGAGATAGGATTGTTTGTTGTAAGGGTTCTCATTTTCTGCCATAGATTCAGTTTCATCAGATCACAACTGCATTTTATTCATATAGTGGAGTTTCAGCCACTTAATCTCATCCAGAAATGCAAAGCCTCAGTTTTTCATGACTACAAATAAAACTCTACTGGTTTGTGCAAAGCTGCCTACATAATACATGACATTTCCAAAAAGAGTTTCATTAGCAAAACATGAAATTTCATTGCAGACATGTTGCACTGTCTTTTCATGCAGGTGGTCTTAAAAGGGAGTTTAAGAATTCTTATACTGTGAGCCATCCAGCCCTGTATTCTCTCTCTTACAGTGGACAATATCAAAATCCTAAAATCTTTAAATAAGAGTATTTTGCTTCTCACACTGGTATTATCTTAAATTTCTAACATTCCTTCACTAAATTTGTATCTCTTTTGCAGAATCCAATAATCTGGAGTGCAAAGTGTAAAGAAAAAGAACTCCTCAGTCATTAAAACAACATTACCTTCCAAGCATTCCCTTAGTATCTATTATACACATTCAACACTCCACACTTACAGTTAAAACTGCAAGGCCAAATGTCTGCTTACCTTAAATCTGTCAACAGAAACAGATGCCTCAGATAGAGACTTCACTGAGAAAGGTGTTACTTTTAGAGCAAAAGTCATTGAATTGAAGACAGTGACCACTGTGAATGCCTAGAAATGAGACAAGAAAGAGAAAACACTTGGATGTAACATATTAACAACTTCAACCTTCTAAAAGCTAACATGTCACAGCAGCAATTCAAAGCCACAGAAAAGGCTCACAGTCCCAGAATAACCATTTAAATATTCAATATATTATCAAACAGCAGAAAACAACAGATCTACCCAACTCTTCTTCTCCAGTGCTTTGTAACAGACCAAGACAGACATCTTCAGTGTTTGTAAGTCTACCAAAAGCAGCAGCTAGCAAATTCTGCATTAGCCTGTTATTTGTGAGGACCCAAGTTCAAATCCTGTTGTAAGACATTTTTGCTGTTTGCATCCAAGCACACTGTAAAACAAAAACATCCAGTAATCCCAATGCCCTATCTGAATAGCAGACAGGAGTGCTTGTTTATGTTCAGCTCAAAACCTGTCCTGGGGAAGGTCAGGACTGAAACAGCACTGAGCTTTTTGTGCAAAATATAAGACTACATCTGCTGCTGTCACACCCATGGCATGTTCACTTCTGTGAGCAAAGCTACAGCCTGGCCACACAGGCACAGCCACAAAGCAAAGAACATGATGAAGAGAAATGGCTTAGCAGAAAGAATATTTTCAATGCTTCAATAAGTTACCTGAGCTGCTGTAAGATCGTAGCCAAGGATCATATGGACAGAAAAGGTAACCACGCTGGCAATGACTACAACTATGGGAGCCACGCCTACAGTGATGCTCTGGAAGTAGCCCGCACGCTCTAAGATTTTACGTTCTTCCTCACGAATTTCTAGAAATATAAATAAGAGCACATTTGAAGTATGATTTGGGGGGTACATACACAAAAAAACACTACCATAGTACTATAAACACTGAGTAAGAGAGGCATAAATCTACGCTTTAGCATTTACCACATCATACACCTTCTTATAAAGACTGCAGTTACAGAGAAGCAAACTATAATGGTCTGTAAATCTCCCATAAGAAAAGTTTTTCTACTTTATTTAAAACTGGAGCAGCCAGCACATTAAATGATAAAAAACTGAACAAAATTTAATAATTTAAGATTAGTGCCAAACCACAAACATCATTATGCTAGAACGTGGGACTTCAGAAGCAGGTCTGTTTGTCCAATCCATCATGCGTAACAAATAGGAAGCCCGGAGGATGAAAATGTTATTACACTGCATGTACATCAACATATATGGTAGTAAGCCAGGAGGATGCACCAGGGTACTAAGCAATGGAGCATCTGCACAAAAGGAAACATTTACAGATTGTGTGAACTCACTTTGAACATTCTGAGAAAATGGTTTGACCCAGGCATACATTTTAATGAACTTAATGTAATTAAGAACTTCATTCATCTTCTGCACACGCTCATCTGTTGTTGATACACATTTTCTTCTGAAGTAAGCTGTGAGGCGCGATACAAACATCTGAAACAAAAGGCAACACCATACAACATTAATGGCAACTCAGAAAGAGCAAGTACATTCAACTCCTAATTATCAGAAAAATAATTTTGTATCTGAAAAAGGGATTCAGGGATGGAGCAACTGTTGTTCTAACATAAGAGTCAGGCTGGAAACACTATTCATATCCTTCCACCCCTCTGCACTGAGCATTAAACTCACAACAGCAAGTTTCAACAAAAATAAAATTTGTGAAAACAAAGTTGTGCGCTTTTACCAACATTGAACAGTACCAGATTTGTTAAAGTTTCTGAAGCACAAATACTACAAGCACATTAACCTAAAGACACACCAAATTGACCCTCATGGCAAATGAACAGTAGAACCCATGTTAGCCAACCTTTTAACCTGGTCCCATAAGGCAAAAGAGCAAGCTGGACTTTGCACAGCCAGCTCAATTTCTCCATACACCACTGCTATGAAGGTGATAAAAACAGTTTTAATATTTTTACTAAACCAATCTAAAAATAAATAGTTGATCACGTGTTTTTAAGTATCTGCTACTCCTGCAATTATCCCATTCCGGGTCTGAAATTCAAACCCAACACACTACTTCAAAGAAGTTTTCAGCTCCTTGCCCTTCTTCACACTCCTGCAATCTCTTTTAGAGTCCCCATCAGTAGAGGAGGACTGCTGAGAAGAACTAGAAAAGATGATCAAACTCCACTCCTCATTCTCACCTTTAAAACATAATTCTTATTATTTTAATCCTTATTGTTGGCCAGATAAATTGGACGAAAGTGGACCCCACAGTATTCAGCCTCCGTGATTTTTAAAATTTGTATTATGAATATAGTGACAAATCTTCAACAGCCTTATGGGGCATTTTAGAGGCAAGAAGATTTTGCTTAAACCAGCCTATTTCACAGCTCAGCAGAAGTAGACATAGGAGCAACTAATCAAGAGTACTCTCTCCCAGATGCAGTGCTTTTCAACATCTTTTGCTGAAATCAAGAGCAATATGCTCATGCATCACAGCTCCTGTACGCAAGCTAGAGGCCTTGTATCTCTCCAACTTCAACCACAAGCACCTGTGCATTCTGCAGTTTAATTTAGGTATGCATATTTATCACAGTCAATCTATCAGCTTTCCTATTTCTTTTTTCTAATTTTCTTTATAATTTTGAGCTTCCTGTTTACAAATTCCTGCTTCATACACCATCTTTAGAAACCCCTTCAACAACATGCAGTGCCATAAAGGGGCTAAATCTAGCACATTTCAACACCTTCTATTCAGAACTATACATATGTCTGACCTAATAAAAATGAAGCAAGTCTTAACTCTTTCCAACTCACCATTGCTGGGTAGAAAAGGATGAAGACAGCAGAGCCCAAGAAGCCTGTTGGACCCAGAATAATAACATTATAAACCATTCCTAAGATGGCCACAATAGGGCCCCCAGCCAACAAACTGCCAACTGCTGCAGCTTCAAACATCCTTTGACCATCATTGGAACATACATTTATGAGCTGAAAAATACACATAACAGATCATTTAGACTTAGGGCCCAGCTCATTCTCAAAGGAATGTATTGCATATCCCTTTCCACAATGCAATTTCCAAAATGATGCTACAGCCTACCTCTCCAAGAGACTTCTCCTTGATGTTCTTCAGCTTAAGAATTTTCTTGAATGCCATTGTCAAGATAGCTCCACGCAGTCTAACCCCCGTGCGGTAATTCAAAGCCCAGGTTAGCGCCAGGGACCAAGAGCGCACTATTTCCGTCATAAAGATGCCAAAAACTAAAAACAAGCTGTACTGCAGGTTGGACTCACTCTGTTGGGTATATTCCAAAAGATGTTTCACAACGAACGCCTACAGGAAGAAATGCAAGCTTGCATGAACACCCCATCATCCCAGAAGACCATGCAACAACTTTATGTTAAGTTAGAAATAAGTAGGCTACTTTGCTTTTAAAAGAGCCGTTTGAAATAGAAAGCATCTTCTTTCTAGAAATAAAAGGTGTCAATACAAGTACTGTAACACAAAGCCCTGCTGAGAGCCAAGCACTGAGTCAAATTTAGTAAGTAAAGAGAGTTTAATTTGGAACCATATTCCTTGCAGCACGCTTCTAATCCTCCGTGTCTTCTAACTTAACATAAATCTGTCAGTTAGCTGAAAGCAATGCATTATCATATAGAAGAGTTTTAAAATATAGTCACTACTTATACATCTGCGCACATTAAGAAACATTCCTTTACATGACATTAAGACCTTTTTTATTTTATCTTTGGTTTGCTTCAAACGTGCTTATTTGATAAAAAGGAACAATGTACCTACAGTTGTAGAGGGGAAGAGTGAGAAGGGCATTTGCAAAACATTCCTGGAAATAAACATCAGCAGTTTAATAGTAAAGAAAAAAACAAGCAGAAAGCACAAGGTACGCAATACCACAAATCATTGGGGACAGGGGGGAAGAAAAAAAAAAAAAAAAAAGACAAAATTAACCATTCGATCCCTCCCCATGCCCTCTCCCCCCAAAAACATAAACACTTTACCTCAGGAATCACATTTCAAACATCACCTGCAGAAAGAGGACAGCCCCCAGAACCATCGATTCCCACCTCCAGCTCTTTGTGGTCCAACGGCACAATATAATATCATACAACTCACAATCACCAGCAATATTAAATACTATTGACTGCGAAACAATAAGCTTTTATTTTAATAAAGTGCCATCTTAAATGGTAACATCTCAGAAACACTGTACAACAGGTAGAGCATTGTATAAACATACAATCTGCACATACAGGATAATTATAAAGGGCTAATATCTAACAGTCTTAGCCTCTAACAAACTAGATTTGAAACTACACACAAAATTATAAAGATACAAAAACAGAACAGTATTTGTTCATGAAGTCCAAAAGAAGTCAAACTTGCAGGTGCCAACAGAGGAGGCTTCTGAGGCTGCACAAATTCTGAAATCTGGTTTAAAAAGTATCCTACAGTAAGGCTTCACAGACAGCAAAAGATTTCCTAGAGAGCTTTTCAACAAATGATGCTTTAAGATACTGGTGCTTTTGATATGCTAGTACAGAGCAGAGAATTACCTTTGCCCACAATAAAAAGCAACAAAAAAAATCTGAGACCAAAGAAAATATTGAGAAGCCTTTCATGTCACAGTCCGTTGAAGTCCTCTTGGCTAAACCAGGTTTTGCAAATAAGAGTTCTGTATAGTTTGAAGAGAGAGGAAAAAAACAAAACCCCACTACTTCAGCAAAGGTATATATAGCCCAGCACCAAATAACAGGAAAAAAAAGGAGATCAAATTCATCTGTTCTGAGGAAAATAATTCTGCACATCAGAACCAAGGAAACATGCTGTAAATAATTTTGCTCTTTGTTTTTCACAGGTGTGAATTAAAGCCAGATGTCCATCAGGTTCTGGAATGGCCACTGAGAAAATTTACATACCGATCCCTGAACAAATGTGAGAAGCTCACATTCACAGATCTATCACATTCCAGCTCTCTCCTTACTTCGATTTAGTTTTACAGCGACTGTTTGGACCACAACTGCATACAGTTGGTTTGCAGTTACTAAGGAGATTACTGACTTCTTTTTCCGGTATTCAATCCAACATATGCAACCGAGTCACTGAGCAATTGGGGTGAAAATGCCCCTTTTTCCTCACGAGCTGTAACTCAGCATGGTCGCAGACTGCAAGCATTTTCTCGCACACCACAGCATTGCTGAAAGTCTCCAAGAGAGGATGTATAAAGAGAGCAGATGTTTCCTGGGGTCTCATTCCTCCCAAAACTTTTTAGTGCAATTTTTCAGCACTGTTTTATAGATTCAGCATCTCCCGTGTTGAAATAGAGACCAGCTTACATTATACCCCCATTTTTATTTTTTTTTTCCGGAAGAAAGAAAAGAGGAAACAGCAGATTAAAGAATTTTGAAAAGGGAAGGGGGAAAAAAAGTCACACAAATTAACATTTACATCCAAACACATACTACTTGAATTCAAACTAGTTTAATGACAAGAATCCAGCATAAAGTTATTTACAAAATGAGAAAGTTACAGTACAAAAACTAAAACTCAAGCTAATGGGGAAAAAGGAACTCCTGTGACTATTACCGTAGTAGTTGGTACTAGCTGCTTGGCTGTCTTAAGCATTCCCATTGAATAAACATTACCTTACCTTTGCTCTTGGCGTTGGCTCTGCCCAGCAGGACTGTCTCATTCTGACGCAGAAAACAGCCATCCTGAAAATTCTAAAGAACAGCTTCTGTCACTGGTCCCACTGCAGTGCCGGCATCCCTGCTGCAGCCAGCGTGCGACAGCACGGGGCAGGCTGCAACTGGAGCCAACTGGGAAATCAGGAAACTTACCTCCAATAGCTTACCACTCCCCCCTCCAATAACTGACCAAACTGTCAAGCTGTACTCCACTAAGATAGCAAGTTTCCCCATCTCTCAAACAGGAAGAATAGCTCTGAACAGTTACAAACAGGTACATTGTTCAGACCTGGAGTTAAACTGATGTTTAGCAATAAAAAACTTCTTTGCTCCTCAACCTGAACTTGAAAGTTTTGGTAGCTGATCAAATGGCAGCAAGTTCACTGGAGATAAATAGTATCTCACCTATACCAGTACATTCTGATGGTTATCACAAGGCAGTCTGACACTTGCAGCTGTCTCACCAGGTTACAGGTTTGGATATTGTGCCAGATGCAGAATTTATCAAAATAAAATAAAAAATAGGAAGACCCTTGAAGGATCTATCCAACATCAAAAAAACCCTACACAGGAAGCCTGCAACAACTCCTTTCCAGTTATAACCATCACAATGATCATTAGCAAAGCCACAGCTGTTGGCTGGTATTTCAAGGTCACAGATATTCAATTAAAATTTTTGAAGTTTGATATAGTGTTTAACTCCATTTTTATAATTTTCACCAATACATGAGGTCAAGCCAAGTGCTTTTCCTGATCTCCCTTTTCACCTTCAGGTGACTGAAAGGGTTTAACAGTACAGGAAAGCACTGATACTTCTGAGGAGACAGCATAGGCATATCTATGAGGCATGCCATTTTTAAAAACAGGGAGGAGGGATGGTAAAGACTTATTTTTCATGCCAAATGACGGAACCAAAAGGGAATTGTTCCTTATTCAGAGAAATGAATAAGGTTGCCTGTAAATGGGCAAATGTCTATAGCGAATTTTATATTACCCAAATCGAGCATCAATTGCAGCGGTAGCCCCCAGCCTAGTCAAGTTGGTTTGTTTTTCTGCTTTCCCTCCCACTCTCTCTCATTCAGCAGTTCAGCTGAGACAAATTGAGAAAATTACACTACAGAAATTAGGGGCAACCCTGCTGCAAGTTCTTTGCTAAAGATAAAAAGCAGCTGCTAAAGCCCTGCAGTGAAACAATGACAGAAGCTCTTCTTGGGGAAAGCTAGTGCTGTTAAAACCTTAATCACAATTCATTGTTAATTACCAAAGTATGTTCGCATATTTTATAATACAAGCTAATATAAATTATTACAAAGAAAACAATACCACAGACATATATTGTTATTCATATTACATGAAACAAGGAAAACTTTAAAAAGGCTTAAAAAGCAGAACATTATTTGATAAGACATCTAAAAGCAGGAAAACATTTTAAAAAGACATTTCACCTAACAGTGCACCCAAATGTACTTACCCAAGAAATGAACCTTCAGCTTACCAGCACACTGAAACGTGTACTACTAGCAGTAATACTGCTCCTACTCCTCAAGGGAAATGTGTAGAGAATAAATTTAGTCAAAAATTCAACTGTAAATCTGCACAGCACGTGCAACAAACAGGTGACAAAAAATGGTGTGAATGTCAAGTCCCATATGTTGTTATCTTCATTACGACCCACAGCAACAAACAGCAGCAGTTCCTAGAGGCAATAACGTACTCTAACACTTCTACATGAAACCTGTCTGACCATTCTCTGTAGGATCAATAAAGACTATACCCATGGACTTCTTGAGACCTGCTCACATTAGTTTTTAAGTAGCACTCTAATAAAATTGTTTCGTTCCGCTTCTTGAAGACTGTGCTATTAAAGCCAATAGACTAAGATTAGTATTTTATCAGACTGAATTTTATTCCAAGATAAATTTACAGAATTGCAAAAAGAAAAAGAAAACAATTCAAAGACCTGCACGTAAGATTTTTATGCAAAAAGACCACATATCTGTTAAGGAAGAACTTTAATCTATACTCAAAACCAAATAGAAAAACCAAGTATGCATTTCCTCCAAGATACCTAAACTCCCCCTCCCTTCTCCAAGAACTTGCCTCGGTATTCAGCACCTTTCCACCAGCTGTAGGAAACCTATCTTGGATTCTTGAATCACTCTGGAATTTTGCCCCAAAATTTCTAACTAGTCAAAACATTTAAGTGATTCTGCAATGAAACCTTAAGATTTTACAGTTGGCCATGAGATGGAGCCCTCTGGGGTTGTTAAAAAAAGGATGGATATTACTTACTGGTCCACTGAAACCCGCGAGCTGCGTGATCATCAGACACACTATGGAAATGATGAGCCTGGTGCGGCAAAAAATCCACACGACCCTCCGGAGAGAGGCATCATCGGGCCCACTTTCTTTCAGTTCTTCCTGCCACAATCTCTCCAGCCTAATAAAAACAGAAGCCTCATGTTATAAATTTTTCACTGTGAGAGAAGGTATAATCTGATAGGCACTTCTCTGTGAAAATTCCAAGCACTTCCTAGCTCAGAGCAACAAAAATTACTAGATATCAAGAGAAATAAATACATGGCACATTCTGTAAGGTAAAGAGAAATATCTGCATCTTGAAATATCTATGTTATGTTTTTCATTCCTCTCTTCTGTGGAAGTAACATGATGCCTTTTGCTTTGCCTGGAGTTTCTTTGGCAATCTTAATATACTGACTTGTCACAGTCTTTCCTTGCTGATCTCACAGAAGAGTTGTGGACTCAAAACCTGAGGAAAATTCCCATTAGCCATAAAAGGTTAGCCTGATCACAAGATCTAACCCATATTCAATCAAATCACCTTGCTACTGTCAGTATTACTTTTCATTATTTTAGCACAAGATTTTTTCAGTGCAGCCTTGAGAAAGAATTCTGTTTTAATAAAAAATAAAGGCATGCAAAATCAGAAAAACAATTGCAAAACACTCCTGGAGACAGAATCCTCTAAGTTCACTGAAATCAGCAAGAGTATAGAAACAGTGCAGCAGAAGGAAGTGGTCTATGAAGGATAAAACTAAATTCCACTATTCTGAGAAATGCAGAACAAAATATCAGTGCTGCTTTTCTAGGGCAATACTATATCATTGCCTGAGAACTAACGCATAAAAAAAAAGGCAACAAGAAAATAACAAGCAACAAGATGTCTCTACCTTCTACAATTGACGTCTGAAGACTCATGCCTTGATAAAGACCACACATCACCCATAAACAATTCGCCTTTCTTGTACGCTCTCTGGGCCAAAGGAGTGAGCCACGAGAAGGTCATGCAGGAGAAAAGCCCAGCATTATCAACAGGGTGCTGGTGTCTAAAAGAAAAAAAAAGAAAAAAATCACAAACAAACAAAAAAGGAAACAGAACTGTAAATCCTTGAGAAATACAAAGACTCCTCTCATTGAAAGTACTCAGAGTACCAAATGGCCCGTGCCAGTCATGCCTGCTAAACAAATTCTGATGTTTTCAGTATCAGTCAGCAGACCTGCAGCTGCAATCTTACTGTGTGACTGGGTTTGAAAAGCAAATGCTGTATCAGTTCTTTCGTAGCCTAAAGACTTACTTGGAAGTAGTCCGTATGGGTTTCAGCACATTCAGGCCATGGTGGTATTTGCCCTTGTGATGCTCTTCATCCAGCATTCTCAGCTGGGAGTGCACAGAGGTGTCCAGTGGCAGACCCTCTGCCCGAGCAGCTGCTTCCAAGGCATCCTGGCATTCAATCTGCTTTTACAAGAGAGACAGCAGAGTCAGAGTTCAAAACTGTTTTTAAATTCTAGGACTCTTGACTCCAGCAACTTTGTGCCTTTTTCTTCTGTAAATTACTGCACAACAGCAATCGCTACCGTTTAAATGTCTTACAGGACAGGCTTCAGCCTGGCACCAAAGACATGGAAGGCACACATTCTAGATCCGCATTAAATTGCTGCATTTGTAAAACATAAATTAAGACCAGTATTGTGCCTGTGCATTCCAAGGATAGACCAGACTAATCTTGCATCCTGCCACAGGAAATACAATAGAGAAAAATTACAAAATCAAGGACCTTTGACATCAGTTCAGGAAATCAATGACTGGCTTATGCAGTAAAATTAAGACATATATTCTTGATGAATTTACACCCTCTTAGAGTAATTTAGATATTCTTATCCAAAGAAAATTCAAATTATTTTCAGAATACTACTAAAGTCCCTTATTCAAAGATACATTACATTAGATCAAGAAACAAATACGCTTTAAGTAGAATTATACGTTCTTTTACCACGTTTCCTGCTTTTTCTTTTTCCCTAAACCAAAGTGAACAGACGACAATTTCCTCTGCTCCCAGCCGTGCTTCTCAATCAATGGCTCAGAAACTTTATTAACAATCACTTAAAAGGCAAGCATTATCTCAGGGGAGTTTTTCCATAGCCCTAGTGAAAGGCAAACCTAAATGCTAATAAAAGGAGAAAGGAAACAGCTGTGATACAGAGTAGTCAAAGTGTTGCAGAGTTCAAACAAACCTTTTGATCAAAAGCTAGATGTGTCAAAATTATCTGAGATTAGCTTGCTATCTACACTTGCATAGGGCTCACTACTCATTCTGCTAACTTAATGGACCATTTATTGCAGTGCCATGTTACCTGTTTGTATTCTAATTTTTTTGAAATTGAGCTACTTTACTTTGTGGAAAAAAAACCTTGGTTCTGAGGTAACAATCTTCCTGTCTCACAGAGATACTATGTTTACCCTTATTAGTTGCCTTCCCAGAGCAAAGTTATTTTATTTCTTTAAAAACAGCAACTGTAAGTGCCTTGTAGCTTCCTAAAAACACAGTATCTGCAAAGCACTGAATGCTTATCAATAGCAAACACTTGGTTCCTAACTTTGCATCGTGTAATTTTTGTCAGAAATGCCACCATTTATCAGAGACTTAGTCTGTACTACATTAACATGTAAGCATTAAGACACTCATGTGAAGGATGAGAACAGGAAATTTATAATAGCATAAATATGTCCTTTATTTATTTAACCATAGTACTCAAATAGTGCCCAAGTATGTTGTCAACAATCCATGGCCCTGATCTCAAAAAACTTACTCATTAAACCTAAAGCTGTAAGAAGAGAGCAAAGTAATAAGAACACAAAAGAACGTTACAACATTATGACACATGGAGTGACTCAAAAATATGTAACACTTAAAATCTGAATTAAAAGACTTCTCACTCAACTTATATTAAATTACTGACTCCCTAAGGGCAATACCACCTTACTAAATCCACCCAAATCAGCATTAACAAGGGACCTACCAAAGATGTCTCAAAGGACTTCAGAGCACCCAAAAAGTACCTATAGATTAAAAAAAAAAAGTCTTCCAAAACCACTGTATTTGTCAGCACAAAAGAATTTTTTCATCACTTACAAACAAGAATAGCTTTTTAATAAGAAAGCACAACTGCAAGATACTGTATTTTTAGGCAGTCCAAAGATAATATTCTTAAACGCTCACTGTGAAAAATAATCTCTCCAGAGCTGCTCAACAGGCTTCTCTCAGAAAAGGTGGAAAAGATGTGTTGATAAAAGACTGGGGCACTGCCTTTGAAAGGCCTTTATAACATCTTGCCACATAGACAAGTATAAGCGCAAACCCCTAGTCGAGAACATCGCCCATCCTCATCCTGGCAACACTGTCAAAATCCCACGTGTACAACTGTCAAGAAATACATGCATCACACCACTGCACAGTTAAGATTCTAAGACAGACCATACCATTCTGTGTCACATTAGAGAATCTTCAAAGCGTAGAGTTTATCAGGAAGAAGCAAGACTCCTAAGCAGTTCTACAATGCGTTTCTAGAGCAAGAGACTGAAGTACAAAACCTAGCAACAACCCCAACGGGTTTCTGAATCCCTATTATTTTTTCAGGTGTTCATCAGCTGGCAATATCCTGATTGCCTGCCTCCATGTACAGTTTTCTTGGAAACAAAAACCTTGAAGTCGTCATTAGCAATATGATGTAACAGGCTCCAGCACTGCTCTTGAAACAACTGTCTAATAAATCACCACTGTGCTATGAAGCAGAAATCAGACAGCGCTTTTTCTAATTCAGCAACTTATTAATATACCAGTACAAGCAATGCACTAGGTGATTGAATGCAGTGTTGATTACTCTAAAGAAATGCTCACAGAAACAAAACAAGCCTAAATCAGATATCACTAACTGGAGGGGGAGGGAATCATTCAGACATTTCTTGAAAAACAGCAGCTCACTACTCAGCATCATCGAATAGGCCAAAATACAATGAAGAATGAAGAACCGTTACAAAAGACAAAGAATAAAGCAGGAAACGTTACCATACCACTTAAACCTAGGGTTTGCCTCCTTTTTGAACACCAGAGTCAGTCACTTCAGTTCAAAAAGGATATTATACTTAAAATTACTTTCTGCGAGCAATGAGAACAGTTCAGATTGGAACAGCTTCCACACAAGCATAAAGCTAAGACTTTTCAGCTGGATAGAAGAGAGAAATAAAGATAAGGTACACATATTTGAGAGGTCCATGAAGTCACGAATGGCATGAAGAACAACTATGGAATGATCATCAACTGTTCTTCCAACAAAAGAACGAGGGACACTCAGTGAAATTAATGTTTTTCACACAAGGCATAGTTAAATTTTTAATCCTCCGTCACAGGAGGATGTAAATTTCAAATGCATAAATGGACTAAAAATGGGACAATTCAACTCATGTATGATAAGCGTCTCATGGCTTATTAAATGCATGACAGAGAGCGACAGCAATCATTTACCCAGAATCTTATTAATAGCTGGTAGATTCCAAAAAAAGTTTCTGAAGCCATGGGCAGCTCCTAACAGAGGGTAATAGTTCTGCACTCCACCTTTTATGAAGCTGTAGCCCACCTGGGTACAGGCCAATATGATTCAACAGATGACTGGTAAAATAAACAGATGAAGAAAACAGTTAAACTTTTAATCTTGAGGGCAATCCCCAAGAGTATGGAGAGTACTGAGGAAGTATCACTACATGCATGATCTTGTCTTCTGCTTTTACCTCCACAGCTAGCTCAGACAGGCAGAGAGAAGCATGGCTGGTGCTGCTACCACAGAGCACGCCTGCCCCCTCTGACTTTCTGCAGCTTGAGAGCACAACAAAACCCTACCACCACCTGTTATCATGATTTCATTGTCCAATAAATTGGTTATAGCAATGGTAAGCACATAAGGTAACATGAGAGCCAGAAAGTAGTTGGCTTAAGACCTGTCATGACAGATAGTCTGGGTAAGGTGAGGAAAGTAAGTTGTTTAAGGGCAAGGGAAAAACATTTGCTCATTAAATTAGAGACAGCAATACCAAAGTCACCATCCATATACCAAGGTCATGAGAAGAGGCCACAAACATACAGAAAATTTAGAAGCCAAGCTACAAAGCTGTCAAATATACATAATGTCAGAGATAAGCAGGACAGAAGTTCTGTAGGAAGAAAGAGGCATTGGGAACATTATGCCGAAAGGCAAACTCAAATATGTGAAAAAAGGACATTTCTGAAAATCTGCTAAGCAGCTAACATGGGCATTTATTTCTGAGGATGGGGAGCAGGTGAAGAGAAAGGAGGTAGCTGTGTTGTATATGCAGGAAAAAAAACCCACAACACAAAACCAGTGAGATCCTAGCCTTTCACACAGGCAATCTCATATTTAACAGAAGGTACCAATTTATTGGTTTGACAACTGTAACAATCAGATGATAATAGCAAAACCAGACAAGCCTGGAGGCCAAGTAAAACAGATTTTTCCATCCCTTACTCATCATGCAGAGAAGGAATTTGATGGTATGTAGTCAACATATGACCTAAACCCACCCATCAAACAACTATTGTCTCCTCTTCCATAAGGCAGAAGTGTTCCAGGGCTCAGGTCACTGCAGGGAAGAAGCTGCATCTTTTCTGGTCCTACTGCTACCTGACAGGAAATGAGAGCAGACATACAAAGGCTTCTTTTATTGATCCTTGCAGCCAATATAGAATACAAAAGCTACCATGGTTGATTTACTGTTTCATAAAGATAAAATTGTTTTATTTAAGTAGTAAAGAACTCTGAATTGGCAGTGCTGCAGAACAGGAACTCCCACCTCTTGCATTTAGAAAGCAGAACTCAGCAGGCCTCCTCACTCTTTTGTTCCAAGTTCTCAGTAAGGAGAGGCAAATGGGAAACTAACAGACCAGCACAATAGAGCTCAGGACTAGGCAGGCATATGGGAGGAGAGAATTATATGATCACCAGTTCTGCCCAGTGCTTAAAGCATTCTCTGTATCACAGCTCCAGGATAATCAGCAATTTTAAAGTATTTAAGATACTTCATTAAAGTCTTGTTTTAAAATACCAGTCCTAGTTATTAGTTTGTATGGTCTGGGGAAGAATAGGATCAATTGTTCCAGTTAGCTTAAGGATAACTAAAATAAAATAAAACAAGAGAAGAGATATACTGAAGTTGTAATTACATCCTTCTTCCCAGAAATTCCTCTGAGTGTTTCCAAGCATAACCCCACTTGAAAGTAGTTAGGGGTTTTATACACTGCTTCTTCAGGTAGCACAGGCAAACCCTAAAGTGCTGTTGTCCAGACTTCTGGAAGTCACCAAACCCAGGAGCATCTAAAAATTAAGTAGGTTTGCAGGTCCAGACATTGTCAAATCCACCATTGCTCAGTGAAGCAGCGAGTGTTC